AGTTTTTAGGCTGTTTTGATTCGTTTCTGCGGCAAAATATGACCTTTCATGGCCCAAAACCCTCTCTGAAGTTTCTACCGTAATCCTACAGTAATGAAGAGGGATGAGTGACTCCTTCTAAAATTTAAATCTAAGTCGAAGCCAGCTCTAAAAAAGGGCGCTTACCGCTTCTCGAAAAACCTCATAATAGGAGAGTTATTCAAAATCAAACAGTGTGCACATTATTTTGGGACACCCTGTAATTATAGTATGAAACGGATTAACTATCTCTACATTCATACCCTCGATACATAGAGCTACGTACTCTGGTAACCTTCAATGTGAGGGCTATGGAGGGACACAACTTTCATCTGGAAAGAAGCAGAAGTCATCCAAGGCTTCTCCCCGGATGTTATTATTTTGGATGTATCGAAAGGAATGTTAATGAAGCGAATATAGGGAATAATATCTTTAACTTAGCTCAGCGAACGAGAATTTGCGTTTTCATAGCCTTTTTCACCTTAAGAAGAAGGTTTCTGTGGAATTTTCGCCAGAATTCAAGACAAAATTTCTCAATTATCCTCTCATTTGAACAAAATCGAGTTTCAGAAGTTTAGAAAAGCTATTGGAGTTAAATAAAAACGAGAAACTGCGCTTAAATCTTGTGCAGAGAGTTGCGCACGAAAACGCAGGTTTATCTCGTTAATGAGTGATTTTCAAAGCTAGGGACGTTGTCAATTCTACTCGTCGTGTCATGACGATTAGAATGTTATATAATGCTGCAGGGTTTCGTTGAAACCCCGCGGAGATCTACTACCAGAGCCAAATGCCCCGTCGGCTCTGGTTTGTCTCCGCTGCTCGTCTGCGTCTCCGCGCGCTGCGCGCAACCTCGCTACCTCAAACGCGGGGCGCGGGGCATTTGGCTCTGGTACACTTTTCTTCACTGTTTCGAACCCAATTCTAGCAAGGTATATATCATTTTGAAGCCCTTGATCTCTATTTTCACGCTGACAACGTCCCAGAACCACATTTTCTAATTTGATTGAGAAATCCGGCAAAAACCTTGTTTTCGAAAATCTCTTGTTCTTCTCCTAGTTTAGCTATTTTCACGCAGTTTTTCCGTACGTTCTATAGATCTTGCTTCTGTTCATAATGCAGACAACCACCCAGCCCTTACCTCTTCGATTATGATGGAATTTTTTGCGAAAAATCGTAAAAGTCCGTTTTTCTCTACCTTATTCTGTTTCAGTGCTTTCGCATCGATTTTTTTCCAACTTGGGCGATTATTGCTCACAACAATGAGCGCAACAATCCAGACAACGTCCCAGGAAACAGGAACGTCAACTCGGAGATGAAAATTCAAAGGACGCATCAAAAATCAACACCCCGTGTTGTGAATTGCTGGTCCTGGAGCGAAAACTTGCACTTTGAAAAGCCGCCAAATGAAAGATTTTAGACCTCTTTGCAGCGTTTTACTTTTTATATCTGTATCACGTCATATTCTCTTCTCTGATCTTTTTTAAACAACGTTCACTATTTATTACGTCAAATGTTCAAACAACCTTCACTTTTGACGCCCTGTCTCTAGACTATCGAAGGTATGGCCTATATGATCAAAGTAGGAACGAAGATGTTTGATTATAGAAAGCCATACAGGGTGTCCTTAAAAAATGTATCGAACGTTTGATCGTTAATATCTCTCTTCCCAAGAAGTCTTTTGCCACGCTTCAAGTATCGTTTTGTAGAGCTGCCTTCAACTATTTTTAGAGCCGGGAAGCAGAAACGCCCTAACATGCTTCGCACCATTCGAAAGCTGAGATCATGGAGAATCGACGTAGACCGTCGACTTTTTTCTAGGTCTTCTGTGCCGCGAAATATGAGGGATTTTATGTTAACTTATGTTGACTTCAAAAATTAACTGATTTTGTGTCCTCAAATTCTGCTCTCCAAATGAATGCTACGAGGAAGTCGACGGTCTACGTTTGTTAATGAAGACTTGCTCTTTAACATAGATAAATAATCAGCAGTGAACAGGTCTTCATTTGGCAGAAATCTGTGAAAATGACCATGTTTTCAGTTAAAACGCGATGTATCTCTTGGTAGAGAGGGGGCTAGAAAGAATTCGATGGTCTAGGTCGAATTCCCTTTTCCTGAGCTTTCGAATGGTATATAGGTTGCTGGACGAAAAAACTAACCAGTTTTCAGAAATGGGGTGGAGATATTTACTATTAGCTTGCTCCACCCAGCTCCACCAATGTACTGAGGTTTATCGGTTACCAAAGCAAATGATTTTTAGAGCCGGGAAACAAGAACGCCCTAACATGCTTTATACCATTCGAAAGCTGAGATCATGGAGAATCGACGTAGACCGTCGACTTTTTTCCAGGTCTCTTTGCCGCGAAATATGAGGGATTTTATGTGCTTCAAAAATTAACTGATATTGTGTCCTCAAATTCTGCTCTCCAAATGAATGCTACCAGGAAGTCGACGGTCTACGTTTGTTAAGAAGACTCGCTCTTTAACATAGATAGATAATTAGCAGTGAACAGGTCTTCATTTGGCAGAAATCTGCTGTTGAAAATGACCATGTTTTCAGATAAATTGCGGTGTATCTCTTGGTAGAGGGGGCTAGAAAGAATTCGATGGTCTAGGTCGAATCCCCTTTTCCTGAGCTTTCGAATGGTATATAGGTTGCTGGGCGAAAAAACTAATCAGTTTTCAAAAATGGGGTGGAGATATTTAGTATTAGCTTGCTCCACCCAGATCCATCAATGGTAAGGATGGCCCAGCCCTCTGACATCTGAAGTCGGTGAGAATCTCGTTTTTCCATTTGTGGGGTACTGGTGTTTATATAGTCATTGTTGACGGTTTATCACTGAATTTTCGGGTTACAGTGCAAGTCCGCGTTACATCTCTCTCTCCGCGTATTTCGGCCATACGCAATTCGTTCATGTGCAGCGTTGACATCTGCACATAAGTTGGATACATACCTATTGGCCTGAAAGTTCAAAAGGAAATGATCTTATTTGTTAGGGTGCCTGAACATGCTAAGGCAGAAACTTACAAGTTTAGTTCTTTGGGACAGTACAGCCTGTCCAGTGAGTTTTTGGACTCACACCAACTGGTCCCTCCATAGGGACTTTGGGACAAGTCGTCCTGGAATTCCCGTTGCAGAATTATAGATTTTAATTGGTTATGCGCCGGGCTTCCAATTGGTATCACCGGTTTGTCTCTACCGTCTTCCTCCAGTGCTTCGTGAGCACAGCTAGTGAGCGGCCCCGTATCTGCATCCTAAATTATGTTCTTCCCTGTGCTGCTGTTTTATAGTTGACCGCACGGAATCGTCCGGAATGAGAACCTGCGTGCGTGTCTCTTGCGGGCTAACATTGGCATTTGCGCGCATGTATCATCATAACGCTCGTACTCGGCAGCCGTTGCAGGCACGCTCGCGTGCGTTCAGCCTACAGCGATCCGGGCGATTTCGTGCAGGCGACTTTACCTGATTCCATGAGTGACAGTCGGCCACGTGATAAAGACAGGTATTGAATACCTGTCTTGTCAACTCGGGACTTTCGGTGCTTGCTCCCTGCCGTACCGCGTAGTACAAGTGTGCTTTAAGTGGGGTAATCCACTCTTTCAAACAAACGGAGTTTCTGCGTTTGGCTGCCTCAAAATCTGTTTCATAGCCTGTGTGCGGTCCGAGACAACTTACGGGGAGTGGGAGGGGACGAGGGATTTTTTTTCAAAGAGTTGCCATTACGACGTCGGAAGTTTTCAAGATGCTCTGAATTTTTATGAAAAATCATTACATCAGTGCATAATCTTGATGTAGAAGTTTCGCGTTCCCCCCCCCCCCCCTTTCCCCTCCTTCTACATCTCCTCTACTATCCCTAGCTTGGACCACTGCTCATAACCTAATCCCAGCGACTTACCGCACGGATTTTAGCACTCAACCGCTTGGCGATATGCCATGTATCCAGAAGCCATGTGATGTTGGTGGCGTTCTCAGAATTGAATGCTCGAATCTCGCTCCCGTATGTGGTACTCCGATCTGTGGAGATTGAGCGTATGCCGATATTTTTGGAGCGGAACCAACGCAAAAGGCGTTTGAAACCTTCCGTTTCCATTCTTACACTATTATGATCTAATGTAATACTTGAATAGAAATTATCTGAGATTTGTAGGATTGCACCTGTTTCCGAGTAGTGCAATACTTCCGTATGCACTACTAGTTTTGTCCGCTGGTCTATGGCCAGGACTTTGCAAATCGCAGCACTGTGTCCGCGAGAGTCAAACGACTCGTCTACTTGGATGTCCCAAGTAGACTGGCCATCGCTCTAAACACGGGCAAGTCATCATCATCTTTATATATACAATATACACATGTATATATATCAGTGCCGGGCCGATGGAGTGGGGCGAGGGGGGGGGGAGGGCCGAGAATGTCCGAAATTCTCAAAAGTTATTACATGAGTTATAAAATTGTGCAAGTGGTTTGTTAATTATTGTAAATGAACAAAATAATTCTCTAAATTTTTTGAAAATTCAAATAAGCTCTGTAAGAAAATTTTTTGGGTTTTTCTAGATTTGGGGGTTATGGGCCCGGAATGCGAAGCACCCTGAAAGCCGGCCACTGATACATAGATATATATATATTCGATTTTACATTGTTTATATCTACCTCGTATTCGGACTTTATAAATCGAATCAGTGCGTTTTGGTGGGCTTCATACACGGTGGAAACAGCCTGGCGCATGTCAGTAAAAACCGAGTAGAAAGTCGATTTCGACGGGACAGCTATACCGGCTTCGTCTGCCCATTTCCTGATTTTCTGAAAAATGCGTTCATTGTCCGTCACTGCTCGATATGCATTATTACGTTCATGCGTACGCCAGTTGTTATTGCAGATGCCGAGCAGAGCATGTTCCCTGTAAACATCTTTTCCTGTATGGTCGTGCCTACCCTATTATGGCCTTCCCAGCGTTCAATTCCAGATTTTGAGCCGGGCTTGGTATAATAGATTACAAGAGCTGTCCCGTAAGTTTCCAGCCAGACTCCATCGGCATTGTTTTGGCAGCCACACCGACTACGTAAGAAAGCTCGAGTAGCTTGCGCCCGGAGACCAGGTAAAATTTGTCTAATGCTCCGGGTTCGCTTTCCTTCCGTGGAGCTTCATCATCGCTATCCGATAGCGCTGCTCTGAATGTGGGATGATAGGAGCTGTCCTGAATGTTCCCTTATCGGATTACGCTTTGATTTTGCTCGTTTCTTCCCTTTTACAGACTAACCGTTACTTTCGAGGACCCTGAGTCGCCGTGTCTGACAGGCGGAGGACTGTGCATGACTTGGTCCATCATATTTTCAGGAACGGGAGGTATTCCTTCAGGCACATTCTGAATGTGTTTGTGTTTACAAGTATGTATCAACGGCGTAAGGAGGCGGGGGGTGGGGGAAGCGGGGGCAAACAATTCATTTTAGCCTTATAAAAAATTTCGAAGCGCGTGGCTGAGGCCACGCACCTTCATGCAAAAAAAAATTCCCCCCCCCCAAATCTTGGGTACGTCATCGGTAAGTATGTAGAGAGTTTTACCTCTTCGGGCGGATTCTGACTGTTTTCGTTCTGATCTTGATTCTGGACATTCTGGTTCTGATCTTGATCTTGACTCTGGCCAACAACATTCCAACAGTTGAAGCGAGAACAATAATATTTTTTCATGTAGAAGTTTATGTACCGTCCCACATCGGATCTTCTCAGCACGACATTGCCCTAACAAATGTAATTAATTTTTTTGTTCCACACAAACAAGATTGGACTGACTGGAAAAGAGGTAATAGCAACGTTGAGTCTCTCCATCATATGTGAAGGAATTTCGCTCTCGTTGAGATACGCCACATTCTCGGTCGTGTATGACAGTTTTCCACCCCCCACGACTATATCGGCAAGCAGATGTTGTGCCTGATTTTTGTAAGTTGTTTTCTGGATGAGGACAAGCAGAAAAACTCACGCTGTTGACAAAGTGAGCGGTACATAGAAACTTCTGGGTGGTAATGAACTCCGAGAAGTAAATTTCCAGTAGTTCTTCTGCAACTGATAGGTATACCTTCAGCGCCGATAGGAAAATAGCGTTGTGGATTTGGCTTTGAAGTGCATGTCGCCAAGCGACTATCGACCTTGTTTCCACAAACAATGCAGGAATAGAACTTGGACATCGCGATAAGATGATACTGAAAGCTTGCGTTATGTGATTCCGCTTGTTTTCTCACGGTAACAGTCAGAATAATCACTGCAATTCAGCAATATGGAACAATTGATTCTTATTCGTTTCTTTTTATAATTTTGAATATCACTCATATCAAATTTTCAGCAAATATTCACTAATTCACAGTATTGTCAAATTCTTGATGGTGAATGGATATGGATTGGATATTACTATGCCTTGTGAATGCAGCACGTACAGTGAATCAGGTAGATTTTGACGATTTTTGATTATAAGCACAAAAGTAAGCTAATGCTCAACCATTTTCCAGACTTTTTATAACTAGCGAGCGCTATAAGCGCTGTCGTAAGGTACACTCACAGCAAGTTTCAAAGTATTTTACGAACGTAATACTCAAATTTGGGGCCTATGATCCTTCCGGTGTTGGCATGTTTCATGCAAATGCTGTCAACAACATTCGCAGTCCATAACAAGGCAAGCACAAATCATATGCAAAAATTTTGTATCGCTTTTCATTAAACAGTCTCGACCAATTTTTTTAGCTGGTCTCGGAACTGAAGTTTTCATGACACCTTTGCTGCGCTCCGTGAAACAGGGAGTGAGCAATTTAGAAAGCTTGATGACCTCAGATATGGTAACATTCAAGTCAGGACGGTCTTGATTCAGGTATATTAGTCGATGATAAAATTTTGGTTTTACTTGTAAACCACTTATTCAGGTCACCTCACCTGTTAACTGGGAACCAAGAACTCAAGAAAACATCAACTTCCGCAATGACATCATCATGACAGTTAATGTAGCCCATAGTAAATTTTCTCCCGGGCAGTCTCTCAACTCGCCAAAATTAGTCCTATGGTATTGCCATCGGTATTTATACAAACGCCTTGACTGGGATCAAATCACAAAGGCGCTAATGTTGGAAATGCCATGCTATAGTAAGAAGACCGTCATCAAATATGGAATTTTAAAGAAGGAATTGAGATATTTCAGAGTCGTCTACACCATGAACTCCATGAACTCAATGAAGCATGGAACTAGGCTGCTGCGAAAATCGGATAGTGGTCGGCCTCCCTGGAATCACTACGGGATTTGTACGAAATGCATAAGCAAACGTTGTACATAAATAGAACAAATATTAAATTCAATGAAATGTTTAGCTTTTCTTTGTGCAAAAGTGGATCTAGTCAAAGAAACCACATTTTTGTGGTTGATCAGCATAGAGCAAATGAGACTCTGCTCTCAATGACACTTCATTACATTTGAAGAAGAAAAGAAATTCTGTTAGAGTACTTTTACCGAACGGAAAGCAGATAACAGAGTATTTGAACTTCATGAAAGATTCTCAATACAAATACCAGTTGCTCTACCTTATCAAGACATAACTAGGCTAGGTAAAGCCTACCTTGGATAGATAGAGTCGTGTATCAATTAATCACGATTAATGAGGCAATATGTAATAAATACTTGACCATTATTTCGCCAACAGACTGGTGTGGTAACTTTGGCATATGAAGGTTATTAGTTGAAGAATCGGAAATTGCAGAATCGTTTAGTTTTCTTGTTACATATTTTTTGCAACAGGGGTGAGCAGTGATGGAGCGAGGGACTGCCGCCGCGGACCCTTCTACCAAAGAGGCCATGGGTAGAGAATTTTAAGCCAGGTACTTTCGGCAGATCGTGGCTGACTAAAGCCACGATCAGAAGTTCTCGTCCTTGAATGTCATATCCTGCTCAGATTCAATACAACGACTGATGTACCACATTTTATTAGCAGAACTTCAACCGGTAACAACGAAAAGACATTATTTCTCATATTTCATTTCTCTTACTCAAGGAAAAACGGGAAGGAAGTATGGAAAATGAGGAATGGCAATTGAACGTCAATATGGATGGCCAGTGCAGTCTCTCATTTATGCTTCTAACTTCCTAATGTGCAGAATTCTGAGGACAATTCGTGCTCAGATATCAAATGGGATTTTGAATCAAAACTTGAGAACGTACAAGTAAAGAAAAGTAGGAAAGCGAAAAATCACAATCAGAGATTCGATACCATATAGATCCTCATGAATATTCCTCAAATTGAAGGCGATGATTGCAAGGGGTCGAAACATCGGGCTAGTATCATGCTTTCACGGCAATACCAAATGTCTCCGAAAAGCGTTCCGTAACAGTGGTGCGGAGACCGAGTCTAAAACAACAACAACAACAAACAACACAATAATTCATCATCAAAAAAGTACATCTGTAAGTATCAGTACAGTCGTGTAGATTCTTCGGTATAACAGTACCCTTGCGGTGCTGCGATTCTGGGATAAATTTTGCGCGTAAACGAATAGTCAGGCCTGAAGTCAACATTTACAGGCGTAGCTATTTGTTCAGGCAAAGTTTATCGATGTCAGCACCCAAAAATACTAGACAACAAATATATTTAATTGTAAAGTGTTCCAGCATGGAAATAATTATGTTCAGAGCAGTTTGCGCATCAACACACATCTTTGGTGATCACAACAAGGCATGAAACATCAAAGTTGCAAAAAGTATGAAATGACACTGACCGATCACCAATCAAAACAGGAGACAAACAAATAGAGCAAGCTATAAAACAGCGGTACATCAAGAGAAAAAACATAAAACCCACTTTTCAGCTGTTTATGTCACCTTCGACATGAAGTCGCGAAGAGGGATCGATGCATGGCACAGTATAAGAAATAGCGGGAACAGCAAACTAAAAAGTCAAAGCATATCATTACTTTAAAACAGGCAGAACTTTGTCAGTAGAAGCTATGCACACCTGCATAAAACGGTGAGAACGATGGAAGAACTGGGTGAAGAAGTAGCAGGCTAGAATTATGCCACGGGTGATGAGTGGATGATCGCGACGCGTCTGAATCGCTATACCAAAAGTTTTAATTTTCTGAGTATTTGATAGAATACTAAAGACATAAAAGTGAGTTTAGTGATTGTAACGAGGAGAATACAGAAACAAAGTACATAAAACTATTCGAAAATAAATAAGTGGGTGCAGGTACTCTGACATCACAAACAATCACAACACAAAAAGCATTCTCACCCCTTGGAGACTCAGGCACTAATTTCGGAAATTCTCAAAAATGAGTAAAATTCGATCTGACCAACCTGGTAGAACAATGGAGTCTCGGAAATAGCGAATACCACGATAGCCGCAACCAGGACTATGGCACATAACCCCAGCGACAGATCTACGAATATACGGCTCAAAAGCAGACAAGTTTCTAATAATCTAATAATCTATCTACTTTAGGAGATTTCAAGCTTTAGTCAGTGGTTAGGGAATAGATCAACTTGCAAACTGAACCGACAAATTGAAACGAAACTAAACCGAAGCTGAACAGTTCTGTCCTACGAGGCTACAAGTGACGCGCGTTTTTTAGCGGCGAACATACTTGTCCGCACAAGGCGTTAGGGGAGCGAAAGGAGGAAGGGGAGCGGCGCTTGAAATATGAACTCTGAAGGCCCTCCAAGTGAAGCACCGCTTTTTGCCCGCCCCCCTGGCTTGCAGAGTTCATATTTTCGGCTCGGAGTTGCTGTTTTGCTTCACTTGGAGGGCCTCCTACCCACATGTATCAAAATCTGATGTGGGTCATTTTTGCCCGCCCCCTGGCTTGCAGAGTTCATATATTCGGCTCGAAGTTGCTGTTTTGCTTCACTTGGAGGGCCTCCTACCTACATGTATCAAAATCTGAGGTGGGTCATTTTTGCCCGTACGCTGCCTTTGAGTCGGTCTTCGTCGGAAGTGGACTGTGTCGAGTCATGATGTCGATCCATACTTGCTGCGCGGCGCATCTGGTTCGCATGACGTCTCCATAACTGTCCATCTTCCGTAAGCACGTCATAGAGCGCTTCTCCATAGCGTTTCTTCACTTGTGCTGGAATCCATTTTTCACATCCAGAGCGAAAATCACGTATCCACACGGCTTCTTCTGGCTGGTACGCTTTCCTTCGTGTTCCATGGTGGCGGTTAAACTGCTTCTCCATGGGTTCGTTGCCCATCTTTCCTTCTTCTTTGAAATCTTCATTCAGCAGCGACAGCGGTGTCCTCATCTGACGTCCCAGCAGCAGTTCGGCAGGTGAACGTTGTCCTGGAGCAGTTGTACAAGGTGTTCGTCGATACGACTGCAGGAACTCGGCAAGCTTCTCTGTCGTTCCTTCCTCCTTAAATTTCTGGAAGGTTCTCTTGAAGATATCTACAAACCTCTCCGCTTGTCCATTTGATTGTGGATGGAATGGAGGTGAATGCATATGCTTGATTCCTCGCTCTTCACAGAAATCTTGGAACTCCCTTGCTGTGAACTGCGTCCCATTATCCGACATGATCACTTGCGGATCTCCAAATCATGCGAATAGAGATCTGAGTTCCTTTAGAGTAGCTGTAGTTGACGGTGAAGGCATCTCAAATATTTCTGGCCATTTCGAGTAAGCGTCAACTACGACGAGATACATCTTACCATTCAGCGGCCCTGCGTAGTCAATATGAAGTCGATTCCATGGCTTCTGTTCCATTTTCCATGAATGCAGTACAGTCTTCGTTGGCATCTTGGCCGCTTCTTGACCTGCCCTACAACGGCGCACTGAGTACTTGATGTCTCTGTTGATGCCCTTACTCTTCGTGCACTTCCCTAGGTCGCTGCTGAAGACTTTCCCGTGCTTCTTCTTCAAGTCGGCGACCACTTCGGCTCGGATTTTCTCTACGCTAGTCGCCTTTCTGCAATGGTAGCTGTCCTTCAGTTTCTTGCATGCCGGCAGCTGGATGCACCATTCCAGTCCAAGTAGATTTGAGCCTTCGGTGACGTAGCAACGACTCAACGACTTCTTCTGTTGAATCGATAATCTTCTTAGCAGAGCTTACTTGTTTGGCTGTCCTCGACCTGTGACAGCTTCCTCCTCGATTTGAGCTGCAGCTGCTCTTCTTCTCCTTGATCGATCGAGGCTTCTACTCCTTGGTCGCTGGAGCTTCTTCTGGTCCTTGGTCGGTGGAGGTCTTCTTGTCATTGATCCTGATCGCCAGTTGTTGTGGAACGCGTTGAGCCGTTGACGATTTATTAGAAAAACACAAGAGTTCCCCCTCTGCCTATCGGCGTACATGCCGAGGGTTCACTAGGAATAACTAGAGAACAACACACACAAATACAGGGTGTTTCAAAAAAAAATGTGAATACTGTTTGATCGTTAATAACTCCCTTGCTTTCATGTCTTTCGCCGAGCTTGAGACACCAATCTGTAGAGCGAGGCTCAACTTAGATTTGTAGTATGGAGCGAATCATCGATCGTTTTTCATTACTGTAGGATTACGGTAGGAACTTTGACAAGGATTTTAGACCATTAGAGGCCATATTCTGCCTCGGAACAAAACCAAACAAGCCAAATGCTTTATACTATGATAATGGAAGCCGCTGATTTCGAATATGAAATTTCCACTGTACTGTGACGCTTCTTTCCGAAGTTATCCCAGGTAAACCGTAATAACAATTCCCAGCATTTGTCAAAAATGTGATTATCCCGTCAAAAAAGTTGAAAACTCTCGTAAAAAGATGTGTGATGGATTGAGCGTGCGCGAAAACCCTAGTACACGATTTTTCAGATTTTTTAGAAAAAATTTTATCAAATGGCATATTTCACAATGGATTCACACGCTGGAAGTTCCTACAGTAATCCAACAGTAGCGAAGGGAGATCGGAGTTTTGCTTCATACTGTAATCTAAGTTGAACCTCGGTCTACGAAATGGTGACTAAAGCTCGGCGAAAGACATAACAGCAACAGAGTTATTAACGATCAAACAGTGTTCACATTTTTTTGGGACACCCTGTATATCAAGGTGCGGCGGGTACGCCGCAACCACAGAGACCATATCGACCTAGCCTATAGTGAGTGAGCAAGTCCCAATATAAGGGACCGCAGGTGAACGTTGTCCTGGAGCAGTTGTACAAGGTGTTCGTCGATACGACTGCAGGAACTCGGCAAGCTTCTCTGTCGTTCCTTCCTCCTTAAATTTCTGGAAGGTTCTCTTGAAGATATCTACAAACCTCTCCGCTTGTCCATTTGATTGTGGATGGAATGGAGGTGAATGCATATGCTTGATTCCTCGCTCTTCACAGAAATCTTGGAACTCCCTTGCTGTGAACTGCGTCCCATTATCCGACATGATCACTTGCGGATCTCCAAATCATGCGAATAGAGATCTGAGTTCCTTTAGAGTAGCTGTAGTTGACGGTGAAGGCATCTCAAATATTTCTGGCCATTTCGAGTAAGCGTTAACTACGACGAGATACATCTTACCATTCAGCGGCCCTGCGTAGTCAATATGAAGTCGATTCCATGGCTTCTGTTCCATTTTCCATGAATGCAGTACAGTCTTCGTTGGCATCTTGGCCGCTTCTTGACCTGCCCTACAACGGCGCACTGAGTACTTGATGTCTCTGTTGATGCCCTTACTCTTCGTGCACTTCCCTAGGTCGCTGCTGAAGACTTTCCCGTGCTTCTTCTTCAAGTCGGCGACCACTTCGGCTCGGATTTTCTCTACGCTAGTCGCCTTTCTGCAATGGTAGCTGTCCTTCAGTTTCTTGCATGCCGGCAGCTGGATGCACCATTCCAGTCCAAGTAGATTTGAGCCTTCGGTGACGTAGCAACGACTCAACGACTTCTTCTGTTGAATCGATAATCTTCTTAGCAGAGCTTACTTGTTTGGCTGTCCTCGACCTGTGACAGCTTCCTCCTCGATTTGAGCTGCAGCTGCTCTTCTTCTCCTTGATCGATCGAGGCTTCTACTCCTTGGTCGCTGGAGCTTCTTCTGGTCCTTGGTCGGTGGAGGTCTTCTTGTCATTGATCCTGATCGCCAGTTGTTGTGGAACGCGTTGAGCCGTTGACGATTTATTAGAAAAACACAAGAGTTCCCCCTCTGCCTATCGGCGTACATGCCGAGGGTTCACTAGGAATAACTAGAGAACAACACACACAAATACAGGGTGTTTCAAAAAAAATGTGAATACTGTTTGATCGTTAATAACTCCCTTGCTTTCATGTCTTTCGCCGAGCTTGAGACACCAATCTGTAGAGCGAGGCTCAACTTAGATTTGTAGTATGGAGCGAATCATCGATCGTTTTTCATTACTGTAGGATTACGGTAGGAACTTTGACAAGGATTTTAGACCATTAGAGGCCATATTCTGCCTCGGAACAAAACCAAACAAGCCAAATGCTTTATACTATGATAATGGAAGCCGCTGATTTCGAATATGAAATTTCCACTGTACTGTGACGCTTCTTTCCGAAGTTATCCCAGGTAAACCGTAATAACAATTCCCAGCATTTGTCAAAAATGTGATTATCCCGTCAAAAAAGTTGAAAACTCTCGTAAAAAGATGTGTGATGGATTGAGCGTGCGCGAAAACCCTAGTACACGATTTTTCAGATTTTTTAGAAAAAATTTTATCAAATGGCATATTTCACAATGGATTCACACGCTGGAAGTTCCTACAGTAATCCAACAGTAGCGAAGGGAGATCGGAGTTTTGCTTCATACTGTAATCTAAGTTGAACCTCGGTCTACGAAATGGTGACTAAAGCTCGGCGAAAGACATAACAGCAACAGAGTTATTAACGATCAAACAGTGTTCACATTTTTTTGGGACACCCTGTATATCAAGGTGCGGCGGGTACGCCGCAACCACAGAGACCATATCGACCTAGCCTATAGTGAGTGAGCAAGTCCCAATATAAGGGACCGCAGGTGAACGTTGTCCTGGAGCAGTTGTACAAGGTGTTCGTCGATACGACTGCAGGAACTCGGCAAGCTTCTCTGTCGTTCCTTCCTCCTTAAATTTCTGGAAGGTTCTCTTGAAGATATCTACAAACCTCTCCGCTTGTCCATTTGATTGTGGATGGAATGGAGGTGAATGCATATGCTTGATTCCTCGCTCTTCACAGAAATCTTGGAACTCCCTTGCTGTGAACTGCGTCCCATTATCCGACATGATCACTTGCGGATCTCCAAATCATGCGAATAGAGATCTGAGTTCCTTTAGAGTAGCTGTAGTTGACGGTGAAAGCATCTCAAATATTTCTGGCCATTTCGAGTAAGCGTCAACTACGACGAGATACATCTTACCATTCAGCGGCCCTGCGTAGTCAATATGAAGTCGATTCCATGGCTTCTGTTCCATTTTCCATGAATGCAGTACAGTCTTCGTTGGCATCTTGGCCGCTTCTTGACCTGCCCTACAACGGCGCACTGA